AAAAGCATCATTGTGTTTAATTGAGATGCCACAGTATATGCAAAAGAACAATCAGGAATATTACCTCTCTATTCTGCAATTTCACTTGTCAATTGCTGAATCTGATCTAGGTCTAAAACCACTTTGCAATATTAAAACTAATGGGCTGAGTTAAATGCAGAATTTGAGGATATGAAGGGGTTTCTGCAATCCCTCTCTTTTCTGGGAATTTCTCAATAAAAGTAGAATCAGCATCAGTTAATATTAATTTACACAATTAAAGAAGCAATCAGGTAATAGGCATAGCACATGACCAAAACAAGAACCTTACAAGAGCATATGACAAAGCTTGAATAAATCTAGGTCTGTACTAATAAAACCCAAATAAAGAAACCTCCCATTTTACTTTCTAGAGCTACTCCAGTGGAGAGTAACAGAGGTCTTGCTCAAAGCTTAGAGGTGAAAATTGCTGCAGGAGATGGTTATTTCTGTGTTATAGTCATTTGTAAATGATGATTTCATTTGTGAGCACAGAGGTTGATGTGGTAAAGTAAATAAAAATGCTCTTTAACTGCACCTTTCTAAGGGCATCAATACTTTGCAACATCAGTGTCTCTTTCATTGAAGAAAAACTGCAGGTCATGTTTCAGCTGAGCAGTCCTTTGCTGACATTTCCCAGCTCAAGGCTCTAATGGACAGAAAGTGGAGGGAATTTTCATATACTTGTTGCTGGAGTGAGCTTTTGTATAGAGGATTTCAAGATGTCACATAAATATTGCAGGATCTTATTGATTTGTGGAATAGGAAGTATACATGCAGAGAGCAAAGAAAGTCCATTTACACCACTGGCTGGTGGACTAGCAGCTTTACTAGAGGAACTTCCTAAAAGAATCACTGTCCTGTATCCCTGGCCCATAAGTTTTCCTGTAAGAAAGGGCAGTATGGCTTGTCACAAACACACATCAGCCGTGGCAGCATTTCCCAGGTAATTGAATTAATCTCCTGTTACAAACATCTAAAACAGCTTCACCAGAGCATTTGCATTCTCAGTAAAACCTGCAGCACCTTCAAATATCTGGAGCTTATGTGATTTCAAAGGCCTTCCTCGGGTGACTTGGATTATAGGTTTTATCATGAATGGGGAAAAATCCATTTTCTTTGTAAATTCTAACAACAGAGATGGCTGGGACAAGTAACGATTGAAAGGAGATGGGTGAATGGGATATATGAGAATACTAAATAGTTGAGAAACATCCCAAATACATTTGTGCAATTATTGAGCTTCAGGAATGTCATCTGCCTTTATAACACTCCTGAAAAAAATCTGGTTTATCATCTTTGGAGTAGTACAGCTGTGCTAAACCTATCATGTTATACACCCTACCAAGTGAAGCACTGTCTACAGGAGAGCAGACAGGAATGTACCAAAGGGAAGGACATGTAACATCCCACAACAACAAAGGGTTTTGTAAATGTGTACCAGTGCTTTGTTGAGTGGAAAAGAATGACCAAAATGGGGTTTAAAATGCCACACTGATTTCTGGCACAGCACCAAGCTGGCACATCTCCTAGCTCTGTTCAATCTGGTTCTTTATTAGGCTGTGCCTGTACTGTAATTAACGATTATACAAGATACTATCTGGTTAAATCCTCCAGCCCCCCATTTTAGAATGTATTTGCTGCATTCTTCATGTTTCTTCTGTTCAAATGAACATCCTTTCAGGGTCACCTGAATAGGACTGACACCCAGCTTATTGCTCAGAGACCTGAGATATCAGGGCCTGTGCTCAGTTGCCTCACTCTGCTGCCCCACTCAGTTGTCTCCTTTGCACAAGAGGAGTTAACAGCACTGCAGCACCTGCCTCAATTTTGGTGGGGAAGACCAGTTTAACAAAAGCACAGTTGAACATTGAGATTCTTTGCCAAATTGGATGCAAAGGAAAAAAGACAAATATTTTCTTCCTGCTCCTACAAAGATATGACCATGGAGAAAGATTTTACTGATGGAAATTTGAAGAGCCCTAGAAACTATCACTATCTATAGCAAGGGTAGTTGGAGGCTAAAATTAATTATGCTCTAGAAGTCACATTTTTTAAAGAAAATCTCCAGGATCAAAATGTGCTAAAACAAATTGCAAGAATATAGAGCATGGCATATCAGGGACTGCACCATTTACTAATCTGCACTATAATGTTCCCCACGAGGTAATATAAACTGTAAGAATCACCAGTCACAGAGAGGACAACACTTCACGGCATGTTGCAGACCCCTATAGCCACTGGCACTCAAAGTACAGCTATTAACACTCACAGCTTGGGACAGGTTCTGCACTGGTTTGTTTTCCTTGCGAGGAAGACACACTAAACCTGTTTGAGCCTGAGCCCAAATACTTGTGAAAATAAAATAAAGGGGAAAAAATTTTACGAAAAGTCAGAATAAACTGCCAAACAGATACCTGCCTTACTGGGTAAGTTGTAGATCAAATATATTTTAGGACACTGGCAAAATTTCAGGGTCAAGGTGTATCTTTTTTGCAATTTCGGTGGCTTATGCTTCAGCAGCCATCAATGCAAAGTGGCAGGCACTCGCTTTCTGAAAGTCAAGCATTTTGGGAGATACCACTGTCTATTAAAAACACATCCCATTGCACATTCTCCTTGTTACAATTTTCTGTGTGTGCCGGTAAGAGGAAGAAAAGACAGTACACATTTTGGATAATTACCAATGCAGAGGCCTTTCACCCCAGTATCTTTTCAGTGTTTTAGTACAACTGATGTCTAATGAACTTGTGCATGACCTTCAGAGGTAGCACTCCAAGAATGCCTTTGGGTCTCATTCCTGTTATATACCACATTTAAGCACAAACATGACAAACTAATTATAATTACAATATTGCAATATAGTGTTTACAGAAAGAGCCAGATTTACTATTCAGTTCTGAGGACACACATAGAGAAATGAGCTAACTATACACCCACCCATCTGAACGCTGACTACAGAGTTTATTCATCCTGGTTGCAAAAATCATAAATAGAACAGGAAGGTGAATCAGAGGGTACCGTTTTATGGCTATAATCTTGTTTCCCTCTTCAGATCAGATGGCTGAGCTGAAAGAATTAAAGCCCATCAGACATCACACCATATGTGTATGCTCAAAATGTTCAGTAAGGATAATACTCAATATATGGCATATCAAATATTTAAAGGAAGATTTTGGAGGCTGCTGTTTCTTATGCATATAACTACGCTAAGGAGCAGGTTTGAAGAACATCTCCAAGTGTAAAGAATTCCTGATTTAAGTGCTTAACTGTATAGCTTAAAAATTTTATCTTCTTTGAGTTGCTTTTTACTAGTTGCATTTAACTTTACAGCTCCAGTTTTGCTTTCACCTGAATTTAAAAAAAAATGTTGAAAGCCCAAGAAAAAATCACTGGTTTTGCTCTGTCTGCAATTCAGTCAGGAAATAGCACACAGGAAAAACAGAATCACCAGTAAGCTGTGATTGCCAGTTACTTGACAGGTGGGTTTATTACCAGACATGGCAATTTACAGACACAATCTGACATTTTGAAATGCCTGTTCTCATACTGCTGTAAATTCCTCGCTGCAACTTACATTACATTTAGGAAACAATTCAGAGGGGTCTAAAAATCAACGTGACTCCAGCTGCTTCAATATCCCTTAAATCAAGACTATTTCATGTTAAGCAAAGTGTCAATGAATCTGAAGAGCTGGTATTTTGAGAAGGAGCAGTTTCTCTCATGCCCTGCAGAAAGACAGGAGGGAAGAAGGTTCCAGGCCTTCCTCCCAGCTTTCAGTTCATTCAGCTCTCTGCATAGAAACCAAATGCAGACCTTAGTCACCCTGAAAGTATCGGGGTGAAATCTCAGCATCAGCACCAACAGCCTCACTAACTGCAGTGGAGCGGAATTTCACACCAAGCAATAATGTGAGAGAGAAAGGGAGCTAATAGCCAAATGTGTTTTGGTGGAAGAACCTAAGTATACCACTATCTGGGGGTAAAAAAAGGCCGAGGATTCATGGATACCTTCTATTGCATTGCACCATCATTTATTATATGAAATATTTTTTGCATTATATACACACTTCACTATCATACTTATAATATCCTATTGCATTCAGCTCCACTGTCTGGCAAGTACCTACAAAAGACCCACAGGAATTGGTGTGAGAAGTGGCAAGCTAAGATTTTTTCATTTCATAGTTTTGGATCACCACATTCCATTACCTTGTCCTCTCCTGAGGAAGAAAGGTGGAGGACTCTATTGTCCTTCACTTGTGCTCTGAAAACATCATGGTGAGACTCAGCTTTTCATTTGCACAGCACCCAATGAAACAACGCCTGATGCCTTGGCCCTTTGTGCTCCACAAACCCTCCCCAGTTACTGTCTAGTGGGCGTATTTCATCAGCAGCTTTACGAGAGCCAGCATCACTGACCTCATTTGGCATAAGCAAATAAAGTATCAAACATATAAGGAATATCTTCTGCAGCCAGCATCTGCCTTAGCTCACTGCAAGGCATCTTCTGACTGTCTCTGGGACAGGGGGAGGCAGAGGAGCTCCCCAGGCTTGAGGAGAGGCCTGAGGCCTTGGGCAACCTTAGACCTGCAGCTCCCGTCAACTTCAAGGTGATCATTATATATCCCTATGTCTCTGTTTCCCCTCTATAAACCCATGAGAGCATTTTCCTCCTCCAATGCACTTTCTGTCTCACCTGCTTTATGACTCAGGTTCCTCAGAAAAAAGGCACCCCTTTATGTGGCAGTTGTAGCACCACTCCAGTATCACTGGTACCCCAGGGGATACTTTAAAACAAATACCAATACAAATCTTTACCAAACAATTGGCAGAACCCCTACCAGGTACCAGGAATGTGCTGCAGATACTCCCCAGTGCTCCCTAGACTTCCCCAGTAAAGTCAGAGAAGATGAAGTACTGTGAGCAGAAGGCAACAATTATTATTTCAAGGTAAAAGCCAAGATGCCAAAATTCGCCTACCTGCCAAATGAAGAAGAGATACATTTGCACATTTTTCTAAAAGAACATATACGAAGATCTGAAATGTGCAACTCCCAGGACTGCAAATTATAAAGCACTTTTTGCTTTTCTTGTTTTCCTTTCATCTGAAAAAAAAAGGATTTTAAACACAAGTTCTTTGCAACGAAGGTCAGTGTGTAAAACACTGCTTTCTGCCACAGACCCAAGAGTCCCCTGAAAAAGGATCCTAGAAATAAATACGCCTCTGCAAAACCCTCTGGCTTTGATAAAATAACATTTTGACTGAATTGTTGTTTTACCCACAGTGTTCTCACTAACTCCATTCCAGCAACAATTAAGAAACATTACATCTCCAATCCTGTCTCCTGTTCTATAATCATCATAAAGGATCTAAAACAAAAAGACATAGCCTTTTTTGTTCTTTTGTAAAACACTTTTAAATCTGCATTCTCACTTTATAGTACAGTTAGAAGCAATTTTATTAAAGTATTTATGATTATGAAGGGCATAATATGAAAATGATCCATCTCTCATTTTTCTACTGATTCATAATATGACACAGGAGTTCAAGCAATGAAATCACCAGCATGCCAGTGTCAAACAAATGAAAGATGTCACTTTACCCAGCACGTGGGCACCTTATGGATTTTCCTGTTGCAAAATGCCCCAATGTCAGATGGGGCTGAATGGAAATGCGATTGCACAGCACAGTTATGAATTGTATGAGTACTGCACAAGCATGGAGATGGCACTCCTGCACTGAGATACTCATGTTTTATCCTGACTGTGAAGGTAGAAGATGTTCCTGCACCCCCCAATCCATTTCTACAGCAGAATATCCATCATGTCATAATTAGAAAATTGCCCAGGACTAAGGTGACAGTGTTTCATGCATGGGCAATTTTCCTGTTCATCATTTCCAAGATTCAAAATTGGACTTGGGCTGCCTGATTCCAGAGCTCTGCTGTTCAAATGCTAATTACAGGAGATATTAATGATAGCACTACTGCTACTTTGTAAAGCAAACTGCATAACACTAGGTAATGAGCAATGAATGTGCAATCAAATCTGGAAGAGAGGGCGTTTCCAAGCCTTTAAACCTCAATATATTCCACAAACAGAATCAAATTCACAGTCAGAAACGCAAGACACAATTCCCTCAACTTTCACATGAAAGTAGATGTTCTCATTCCCTCGGTACACCTCTGGGGCCTCAGACAAGTAAGGTGATGGGAGGCTGATACATGAAAAGATTTGGAAGAAGTGGTTACTTGCCCACTGTGTTACAGTGCAGGTCACAGGCAGAAGCTGGATGCAGCAGAGCGACAATGCTGCTTTAATGGTTAATGCACCTGACAGACAGCTTGGAGTCAGTGTTTCTAACCAGTTTTTAACTTCTTGGAGTACTTCGTTTTCCCTGAAATGCAGAAATGAAAATTGTATGGCCAGTCTCCGCGAACGAAGATTTTGGGAAAGGTCTTTTACCTTTCAAGCCTGCGCAATGGATTTTTTAGGTGAGACGCAGTGTGTGCTGAACTGAGCCCACCCTTTAATCCTAAGGTTCATCTGCCGGGGCCAAGCGAGCTTGGACAATGGCAGTGAGGTCCTCAGGACGTAGGTTTGTTTAGAGTGACCTTCTCATAGATGGATGGCCTTACAGGGCTGACGAGCTCCATCTGCCCGGTGGAGTATCCCTGACCAGGAATCGAACCCGGGCCGCGGCAGGACCCCTGGTGGTCTAGTGGTTAGGAGAAATGAAAAATGATCTAGCTGATTGCCTCTTGTACATTTGATTCCAAAGGATTTCCTTTGGAAATGGCTATAAGGAGTGTCAAAGAGGCTCAAAACTTCCAGGACAGAAGCCAAAGCACCATCTGGAACGTGAAATGAGGGACAATAGCCCCCCTGGATAGCAGCTACAATAAAATGAAATATCATTACACTTGTCACACAGCTCTTTACACTTCCTTCTTTAGTGGTGATTGCTAAGAACCGCCCTGAAGACAAGGTGACAAGCTCAGATGAAACTTTTCAGCATGCCTTCTAAAACAGGGATTGTGTTTCAGCATGGGGCAGGGGGCTTTATGGTCTTGTCTGTGTTGACAAGACTCACAAGTCAAAACACATACAAGAAAATAGAGATGAAGACCCGTAAGCAGGAATCCCTCCAATTTTCTCCAGTTTACTGGTATCTGATGGAAACCAGGAAAACAAATGCAACTATTTTTCATGTGAAAATCAAACAAGCAAAGCTTTCTTCATTCCTAGAAACAAATAATATGTGTTCAGCTTCCATACCACATTAGATTTTTTAGGGATCTGCACTCTGAAGAAAGAACACAAGGAATTCCTGCAGTATCCAAGCCAACGGGCTTACCTTTCATGGGGAAAAAAAAAAAAGAACAAAAGAAACCACAACAAATGACAAGCTTGGTATCCCAATATTCACATAGTAATGCTTTGCTTTCAATGCTTGCTGTTCTGTTTTCATTGTGTCATTTTTTGTTAACATGTATTTATGCACACTAAAGATTACATAAAAGTCATTTGGCAAAGATAACACACAGTAGGATTTGGGATAATCCCATCAGCTTTGCATTTAGTACCCAGCTGGAAAAAGGGACAAGATCTACAACATCCTTTCTTGTTTACATAGTGTAATTTCTTTTGAGCTTTCTTGCAAGTGGATTTGCTGGGAAACATTGCTTTCTCTCCAGTAAGGTCAGCTTTCATCCCAGTCCAAAAAGTTGTGTGACCACAGACAGTAAGGGAGATAGACTAAGGTAACCTTAAAGGCCAGGGCCTTTTTCATTTCTTTCCCTGTACAAAACAAAACCCAAGTTTCTGACCACTTTTGTAAGTCATGTGAGCAACATTTGGCAGAATAAATACAGAATTGTGAATTCACAGGCTCACAAAGCACTGTTCTGATGACCTGCAATTAGGCCTCAGGAGAGTAGGAGACAGGAGAAGAAAGAAAAAAAAGGAATAACTGATGTCTTAAGAAGAAAACAACGAAGAGAAGCAGAGAAAAAGAAGACAGAAACAGATACTGAAGTCAATTCTAAGTTATATTAAGTCATCCTTTCAAGAGCACCAAGTCTTGGCAGCAAATTAGAGGGGATCATGGTCATATGAACAAGGAGCTTCTGGCCACTTACGCTTGGGCCAGCACAGAGATTGTCCTCTTTTTACGTGACAAGCCTCTCTGGGGGGCTCCTTTGGCCAGGTTTGGCACTGCAATGCCTCTGTGGCAAGATTCAGCTTCTTGGCAACGAATCCTACTGATGTTCAGCAGCACAGCAAGTGATCCCCCCTCTTCCAGAGAACTGCAGGGATGTCTCCAAGTGTTACATCTCACATCTACTAGATCATGGGACTGATCTACATTGTTAAAGAAGTGAAAAGGTCCCAGACAGCAGCAGTTGAAAACAAGCTATGTTCATTTCAGGGCTCCTCTGTCTGGAGAACACCCAGCTGAAACCAAATCACACTGGCATTTTATAATAAAGCCACATCAGAAAACTACATATAAGCTACATCTGGCTATATTTTCCCAGAGAAATAAACTGCATTTTTTCCTCAGGCTACTGCTCCTCAGGATTGTTTCAAGGGTTTTCAAATTACATGAGTAACTACATTCTTCTAAGTCTTTGCCTCCTCTTCCTAATTAAAACATCTCTCAGGATTATCAAAGCAGATATATTAGCATACTGGGCCAACTGCCTTTCATTCTTAACAGTTCTCTGCATACCCAGAGAGAAGGACAGGGAAAGGGAAAAAAAAAATAAAAAAATTAAAAAGAACAGAGAGATAGGCTCCATTCTTTATATCAAATCAAATCTGCTTTAGCAGGTCTTTTCTGAGTTCCCCCTATCCTTACTGGCCATCACACTATTTTACAAAGCTGTCACCATATGTGAGATACTTCGCTTCAGGGTGAAAATTATCGAGATGAAAGAATGACTTACTCCAATTCTATCAACCTTGTGAATCATTCATGTTCCTTACATGAATCACAGCCAGCTGCACTACCTGTCAGATTCTGGACCTAAGCTTTGTACAATGTAACTTTTACCAATGATCATTCAAAATATTCTAATAACCCCCTTTCAGATGCACACACCCCAAGATAAAACAATTCAGTGTATCGTTTAGCATCTTGCTAAAGTGCCACAGTTTTAGCTGAAAGCTAAACAGCCTTCTCTATAACGCAAGGACTGGCTTTGTTTATAATTTTTCAAAAGCTCCATCTAAGGGTAAGTCAGCATTCTCCCCTGGGCTTTAATAACAGCAGGTTTTAGATTCTTAAATGAAAACTGAAATAGGTGAAATCCAGAAGTAAGTAAGCCTGTACCTGTGATCAGATTATCAGAGTAATAAATTATCAGATTATCAGCTATGCAAAATCGCATCTAAAGCTCACAAAAATTGCTAAGAATGCTCCAAGTTCACCTTGTGAACTATTTAAACTCAATTCAGCACAATCTGGATGAAATTTTACGGAAAATCAGTATTGAAGTATGCCATGCACACCTCAGTGTCTCCCCTTACAAACCAGGTGTGTATTCTCAGACCCAATAAATTCTCTCTTCAAACAGATACCCCTTTGTGGCTAAATAAGATGTTTTATAACTAGGCTGCTGTCACACTTACATGCCCCACCAGGTCAATTCTGCCCTGAGGCTTTTGTGTTGGTGCTGGATCCGTTGTTCCTGCCAGCACAGGTCTCACCAAGGCAGAGCAAAGCCAGCCCATATTCAGCTACCCAAACTTTTACTGCAGTAATGGGATTACAGTGAGGATTTGTTCAAAGATGAAATAAAGCGTTCGTTTAAAGCCATTAAAAATAGTTGCCTTGCTGTCAGATTATTAATCGCCTGTCATAATATTCTTACAGGTGATTATAAAAAGTATATTTCTGTGTAGTCAGAACGCCCTTCTGTCAGTGCAGTGAATGAAGAGCCAGCAATAGGAACAGTCCCACAGCACAGAAACACTGCCACCTCCTGATCACCGGACAGGCAGCTGCCAAGGCACACACAGTGCATGACAAGCAGCGGGTACTTGTTTTAATCTAAATGCCAGTGATGTTCTCTAATTTTTGTCTCACATTTTGGGCAAAGGCACACATTGTTCAGCTAATGTAGGATCATTCACTGAGCTGCAGTAACCCACCTTAGTGCCTGAGCTCTGTCAAACCCAATCTCTTTCCTTTCAGGCACACCATCTTGGTATTACATTGCTGCTACACCAGAGACATCAGCAGTTACTCCCACTACCAACCACAAAAAAAAGCAGATTTAGTCCTGGGAGAGCATGGAAAGATGTGGTGTGAAAAGCTACAAAGCCTAATATATTGTCTTCATGCAGAAGTTGTTGCTAAACTTCACATAAAAGCATAGAGAAAGCATCATGTCCTGAGCCAGTGCCGGTGCCCAGCCCCACTGCTGGACCGAGAACCCACACCCAGCCCTGCCTGCCAAAAAGCTTCACCCCCAGATCCCTGCAGTCACAGGCAGGCAGGACCTGGGCAGCAACTCTGTGGAGAGCATAAAACACAGTGTTCTGGTGCACTCACTGGAAATGAATAATTTCTTTTCCCTCTGATTAATACCAATATGATCATGGCAAGGGCAAGAGTATATTTTATGCCTGGGCTGGTTAAATTTCATTATTATTTTGCAAGGCATCTGGGTCTATGACTGAGGCATCCCTGTATTCATTACACTTAAGAGGCATAAATGAACACTAGAAATTTGAGAGTTCTGGTTCAGTGACAACAAGAAATTTTGTCAACAGAACAAGTGACCTGTTCCAAATTTCTGGTTATGATATATGGTAGAAAATGTAAAATAAAGTAAGGAATATTAACAGACAACAGCTATATTAAAATAGTATGTCCTTGAAATAGAGAATAAAAGAAAAATGTCATTCACTTCAAGTAAGACTTCTACTTTATCAAAGACTATGTTAGACCCCATCTCCCAAAAGTAGTTCTAAACAAACACCACAGATTCAGCTCCTGGAAGTCTGGGTATTTTTGACATACTTTGCCATGCCCCACTTACACTGGAAGCAGCTCTCAACAAATGCCCCTAGCACCTCATCGTGGGCAATAAATTCACCAAGATTCTCGTTCCCAAACATTCCTAAACTTGCAGACCAAGCCCTTTGGCAAAATGGCTGGGCAAAAATGTTGGCTCTTTAGAAAGAGGAGGAGAATGCCCCTCGACTCAAAAGCAGTGTTAGCAAGTTGATTTGAAGAGGGCTTGGAGGGAAAATGAAGTTTGCTGACAGCAACCCCCCCAACATCAGACATTGCTGCTGGAGGAGGGAAACGACCAGAATCAGAGACACTTTTGCCTCCTCCCAGGGCAGTTTTCTGTGCCCTGGCTGGGCTGCTTGCCCACCAGCTCTGTCCCCTAACACATCACCCAAGGAAAGCCCACAGCAGCACTGAAATAACCATGGAGCAGTCCTGACATGGCACAGCTTGCTGGGGGGCTATTTCACTTTGGAAAAACATTTTCCCCTATCCTTTTCTGCTCAGAAAAGTGCCCAGTTCTGTCTTATCCCACAGCCTCTAACACCCACAGGATGAGGTACCATTTTGTGCCTCATTCTACTAGGAAAGGGGGACCCATCTTCCCGGTCCTGCAGTGAGAAAGTGCCCGCCGGCCGTAAGGCTGACTGACCTGCACGCTTGTGACTTTGTAATTCTTGTCTCCCTCCTGCACTTCCATTAACTCATCTGGCACTACAGCAATCATAAAGAATCCCCAGCCTTTTCACTGTCCTGCAAACAGCATCTGGGGCTCTGACACGGTGCAGCTGCAGTGTGGGTCCAGCAGCCCCTCAAACCCACCCTGAAATGAGGGACCCGTTGTGAAGGGACTGACTACGATGCCATCAAAAAATGATGCTGCTCTTCCCCACCTTAAAGAAGTAAACGCTAATGAGAAGCAGCAGTGCCATTTTGTCAGATCCATGTTATTAGTCAAACTGGTAATTAAATACCTTGTGGAGGTCTACTTACCTTTTCCGTGAACACACACACAGAAAGTGGACTTTCAGCCTTTTCTGCACATCCACGATGTGAGGGATCAAGGAACAATCTTGCAGGTTGAAGCAAATGGAGGTCAAACCACTTATCTAACTGAAAAAGAATATTAAGGTCTGTATGCAGAAGGGGTTTGGGTTACTAAAAAAAATCTTTGGGCTGATGAGATGTGGCATAATGACTTCCAGTGAAGCTGATCTTTACATCAAATTGAATTTAAAAATAATTTGCATTTGTGGTTTTCTTTTTAAAATACCACCGTAGTCAACACTGGGAGAAATGATTTAGGCAAGCAATAGGTTATTCGTGTCTTCGAGACAAAAGAAGGCACTTCTATGGATTTCTGTAGCTAAGCATGACTTATCAGGCTCCACAGAGGCCTTTGTGGATGAAATTCAGTAACCACAGTTGCAGAGGGTAACAGTACATGGTCTCTGTGGGCTGCAGGAGCCATGCACTGATGTCATGGAATCACAGAAAGGTTTGGGTTGGAGGGAACCTTTAAAGATCATCTAGTCTAACCCTCCTGCCATGGGCAGGGACAAATGCTCATGTACATGTACCCAGAAACACTTCCGAAGTGCAAACGAATTAGAACTGGTTGAATTAGTCTCTGTGAATAATTTAGCTGCTACATTTTGCATTAATTGTTGAATAATTTATTCACAAATACATTTTCTCAATTATTTGACCTCTGCTGCAAAGTAATGAATGTTATTTGGCAAATAATTTACTGTACAATATTTATATGAACACATTAATTCTGAATATATTTCCCTATTACCCCATTACTTCCAAATTCATTGTTTGAGTGATCTCAGTATAGAGAGCAGGCAGCCATCTTTTATAAGCCATTTCTATTGCCTAGTCTGGTTCATTCTAATTCAAATATCTCAGTACACATTCCAAAATATTTCAGCCTCTTCTGGGCATATTCCCTGTGGATAAAGCCTGGAGACCTCTCAGAATAAACACAAGTGATGTGCAGGCAGGTGCAGACATGGGTAGATGGACCAGGGGGAACAGAAAACATGGGAAATACTCAAACAGAGGTATGGCAGGGAGGGGAGGGGGCTTGGAAGCCATGTGTGAGTATTCAGAATTTCACTGAGATTTGACAGGACTAAACATATAATTCCATGGCTCTTGGGAAAACCATAGCCTTTGCTGAAATACTTTTTATCTCTGTAGTACAGTGATACAACTTACTCTTTATTTAAGCACCAGGACAGCAGACTGGGCACAGATGGAATCATAGTCTAGAACATGGACAAAACCTATGCTGCTTTACCAACATCATGTTACTTGGGTCTTTAGGATGAGCAGGTGGGAAACTGGCTGGAAATACATGAAACTGGCCTGAAATGCATGTAATAAACATAACCTCAGGAACCTCTCTGAAAATATTTGCTCTCTCTACTTGGACATGAGCAACACACCAACACATCATGAAGGAATAGTGCTGGATTTAACTCTGCCTTCAGGTCAGCTACAGAAATAGAGAAACAGCAACGTGCTTCTGCATATGCAAATAGGATGGAGGAGCATTAAAATCCCTAAACAATACATACTTGAAAGGATATTTGGTTCACTGATTAATGGCAAACACATAAAACTTACTTTCTTCTAACCACGCTCTCATGACTTGCAGTCCAGCAGTTTTCCTAGCGAAGAGCACCAGAGGAGCACACAAGCCCTGTGGCTGGAAGGCTTCACATGAGTGTTTTGCTGCAATTCACAGAACTAAGCAACACAGCAGCAAAGCCAGGGATAAGTTCTTCAGGATTTCATCACTCTGTACTTGACACTTTTTAATTAAAAGCTGAAATATTAGAAAATCTTTACTGCTGAATTTGCTTAACCAAAGCAAGAGTCCCCCGCTATTTTCAATCATACCCACATCTTATTTTTTTCTAGAGGAGGATAGTATATTTGACATAAATGTTTAACAAAAACCATCCATGTAAATAGGAAGACCGGCAATTTTGAGCCCCTTCTCTATTTAACCAACCAAAGTGCTCATTGAGCTGTCATTGGTGTCCATCTGGGACAAGGAATATAATCAAAGGGATTCACAGCCTTATAAGCCCCTTTTCAGGAGCACGACATGTGGGCACATGCTTGCAACAAACTCCTTGATGGCCTACTGTTCTCTGCTGGAGAAGGAAGCACAGGAAAACCCTTCTACTCTGTAACTTTATACCACCATTGCAGGTTGAAGCATTGCAGACTGAAGCACGTCGTGTGAAGAGTATAAAGAGGAGACAAAGCACTGTGTTCATTTGGGATGATTTCATCTCCTTCACCCATAGAATAAAGGATGATTGAGTCATGACCACTATCCTGCAGTGATCATATATATTCTCTGCCATTCTTGTTCCTTTTTCATGCTGTATCCTGAACACAGAAAACCAATTTTGTCTTGCCTGAATTTTGGGTTTCTCTTGCCTGAGTTTTATTAGAGAAGACAGCCAACGCTTCTTAGGAACTGAAGAGTTCTCCCTGCCTTCCTTCAGTTTATCCCTTTTTTGTTTGTTTGTTTGTTTTCCAAATGTAACTCTTTAAAAAAATTTTTCACTTTCCTGTGGCAAACAAAAATCAGCCTTTTTGGTGAATTCTCATCTGGAGAAGGTTTGCTCATACACTATCTAGAGCCATGCAAGACACAGCGAGCCATAAAATCTGTAGACTGGTCATGGAAGTTCAGTCAAGATGATTTTTTTTCCTGGGAATCCCCTCCAATTCCAATAACAGTTCATATAATTCATTCAAGTTCAGATAGAAAAGAAAATATTATCTATCCCACATATAAATGGAGTTGGCTGCAAGAGATGATTACCAGCTTGCAGCCAGCTCTGAACAGAGACACAAGGCTAAAATTTGAGGAGTCATCTCCAGTACCATCTCTTATCTACATCACAGGGTGCATAATTAGATGACAGATCTTGATCTTCACATAGCAGGAGTCAGGTGTATTTTTAATTTATTTTCCGTCCCCTGCATGGCTTTTCTAGTCTTTGTTACTTTAGTTTTAATTAACTTTGTCCATAATTCCCTTCTAAACAATCTATCTTGTAACTGATTTGCACGTGGAAGAAGCTGAGGAGCGACAGAGAGATTTGCCACTCTCATTTTGCACCCGCTTGCTTACACCTAACAGGGTGCTCCTTTCTCATACACATTCTCTCACATCTCTTTCAATTATAGGTGGACCCCTTCAAAATGTCATTTCTAAGTAGCCTCCCAAAGAGAAGCAAGCTGTGTTTCCTTCCCTGATATCTTTCCCAAAGATATCATTGAACAGTGTCCCTTGGGATACCCTAAGAATTCCTTAGAATGCTCTTCCCCCACTATTGTCATCTATTTTCTTACTCCCTGTATTGGGTTTCAGTGGCATTCCCCAGAAAAACATTTCTTTTCTGAATTATAATATTTACATAAAGCTGCATCTGTGGGAAACTTTACACCAACAGCAAAGGCCACAAAAGAGGTGATATTTACAAGATACATAGATCTTGAGATACTCCAGTAAAAAGGGACACATTTCACTGACAATTAATTAATTTCTTACAGTTGTTGAGTTCAATTTGCTCACAGTCATGGCTACAAATGATGCACTGATCTCGGTTCTGGACCTGTGGACAGCTAATGAGTAGGAAGTCCTTAACTGAGGTTCCTGGCTGCATCACAAAATAGTCTTTTTTATAAATCAGAAATGATAGCAAAGGGTTGAGCAATTTTTTGGCTGGTTTTGCTTGACCTGATAGTGCTCACTCTCACAGTGACCATGATCCTGGACAGTGTAACATCATGTAACATCTTGTTCCCTCAGTAACCAAAAAATATGTTGATCCACTTCTTTACCAAATCATGGGCTAGGAGCATCATTTAGTGTACAGTCAGAATTACTCAGTCCTCATTTAGGTCTTTTTCAGCTTTGTTTTTTGAGGACAAGCAATCAGTCTCTTGAACAGCTTCCTTCCTTCCTTGGAAGGTCAGGATGTCCTTAGTCACAACTGGATTGATGCAGGAGGCTTCACAGCACTCAGCATCTATTTCTCCTTCCCACATTTGTCTGCGTCTTTCCTTGTTCTCCCACAGCTCTATCACCTGGGATGGTTTTGACAATTCTTTCCTACATGCTCAATCTGATTTAGTTTCCTTATATGTCCCCAGGGACCTGAATTGCTGTTCGTGCCCCATTTAGTTTCCCTTTAGAGAGAACACCATTCAATGTAATTGTAGTGTCCTCAGCCCCAGGAACAGGAAGTGGAGTATGGAGCAATTTTAAGCTGCTCAACTACTTTGGCTCATATTTCGTTCCCTTCCATATTGTTCTTCAGGTAGGATCCCCCACTAGGTCAACACAGTTTTGATAGAGCACCTATTTGATTTCTCTCATTTAATGCATTCTTTGCTTTGTCTGCTTGAAAACATGGCCCAGTCACAGCTTATGTCCCACTATGCTCAGCAAGATGTCACACATTTTTAACCACACAATCTCACCCTGCAAAAAGATAAAAAAAAAAAAAGAAAAGAAAAGTCTTCAGGCAAGTAAAGAGCATTGAGTCCTATGACAAAGTAGGCTGTGTTTCTTAATCACCAACTGCTGCCTGCAAGAGCAGTATTTCTTTTTATACTCTTAGGAATGACTTGTTTTATTTCCCTTTTTTCCATCCAGCAAATGCTCAGCTGACAGGATAGCAATGCCTTCTCATTACCTTCAGGGAGACAGGCACTACTCAAAGCAGTGAGAGCAAATCCTTTGCCCGTGTCCTAAAGAACTGAGAAGAGAAATGCAGGTCCTCAAAATCCCACTTGATTTTCAGATACGTGCAGCTCACCTTGTTCTGCAGTCTGGCCTTTTCCTCTCCACTTCTGCCTGATCTGCTGTGTATTTTGCTTCAGTGATAAAACAAACACATGATAGATACAACCCCACATGACAGATGGCATTAAAGAGGCTTATTTACAAATGCTCACATTTTTCAAGATGAAATTTCCTGATCCAAGATGGAAACTCAGGTGGAGCCTTAAAATAAATATCAAACCAGTAACTTTGGAGTGTTCCCAATTAAGGCCAGTCCCCCACTGCT